TTCTCTCTTCATTCCAGATTGAAAAAAGAATTATTAGAAACGAGAATGTTGAACAATTTCCAATCTCTTCAAGCTCTTTTTTATTTTCTTATGTGAGCAAAATTTTCGATGGATGTGCAGATGAGATCGTCATCATTGCAGCTCTCTCATTACCTTTTCTTCATTCCTGCAGTCGGTAGGTATAAATGCTAGCGAATTCCGTTTCCGTTTCATCACATTTGTTTTATTTTTCTAACATGTTTTTTTTTGAAAAAATGCATGGTTTGGTCCTGCTTTCCTAATGTGACTTTCTTGTCCATTGGTGCTTTTCATTGATGTACCTTCACTTCGCGACCTTATTAAAGCCATGTCTACAGCTGTACTTGCCATCAATTTCTTCACTCACCCGAACACTTATTTGTTTAACTGAATCCACAGAGATAAGATTAGCTCGTGTTTTTTTATGCTAGTTCTTTCAACTATTTGAAGCAAATTACATATCATAACATGCAAGAGAGGCGCATGTGGCGCAGTGGTCGAACGCGCCTTGCAATGAACACGGGGTAGATTCCCGTACCCAGGCCCACCATACCTCCGGAGTCGGCAAATTGCTACCATACTTGTCTAAGAGGATAGCAGCATTGACTCGATACATCGGTAGACTACCACGAGTTACTGTGAAGGCCAAATATGCATTCAATTACCTATTTAATGAAGTCGAATGCATGGCGCATCCCTCAGAGACAGATCAATTCCGAGAGCTGTATCCCTTATCCTTTTAACACTCAAGAAGATCACTTACCAAACGACTCAATTTTATAAATTTGAACGGAAGAGATCTCATCTAACAAATGAAAACGCTATGATTCTTAGTGCCTAGTAAAGAATTCCAGAGAAAACGTTTAAGGTCTTCCTGACGCATCTTGAATGCACAATTCCTAATCCAGAAAACCGTTGGGCTGCAATGAAAATAGAATGTGACCAAAAAGTCATCGGTTCTCATCGGTTACAAGTCAAATGGTATATTACTGCCCATTATTATTCTAGTATGCAAAAGAACATCAATTGTTTTGGTGATCTGTCGTACTTGGCAGAATTTCTCTGAGCACACAACGTGTACTCTATAACGAGAACTGGATGATGACAATGATGATGACAACTTTTTATTTATGCTATAATATTTTTTCAATGCAGAGTATCATCTGAAAGGCAACTCCAGTGATGGTTAGATATTTGCAAAGCTCAGACCCAAGGCAAGATTCGAACCTGCGACTACCCTTTCCTAGTACTCACGTGTTGCCCGCTGATTATAATAATTATTTTATGTAGAGAGGCAAGGCAAGGGTCTCGGCGGTGTAGTCTGGGCTGGACTCTGAGTTGCGCAAATATCTCATCATCGTTGTGGTTGGATGATGACAATTTACGAAGGAATTGTTTTCTCATCTCTTAAGCAAAATCAATCATTTATGCTTTTGTTGAGAAACATTGGTCAGCTTATCAAGGAAATATAAACCGAAGCGGAGACTCTTTTCTTAGAGATGGTGTTATTTATCATGGTAGGAAGACTCGAATACCAATTTTCCTCCAGCACTTCGAATTTTGACAGCATTTTGAATCCAGCTGTAGGATCCACAGCCGTTCTTGTCAGAAACGGTTCGATTAGCTGAATATAAAAAGGGGAAAAGCAAAGCGAGCAAAAGAAGCAACTTAAAGAGAGGATCGCAACTGAAAACTGAGATTGTTTCATTTTGATCATCACCGTAACAGGTATCTATATACTTTTTAACACACACCCAGAGCGATGGAACTGCCTAGTTTATGTGAATAGTAGCTGTCTTGTAATGAAATGTGTAGATAGCTTCCACCGATCAGTTAACTCGATCAGAAACAGTGGCTTTGCACCGCTTTCACGAAAACAGAGTTAGTCCTGTCGCGCCCTAGAATTACTTCTTAGAGGAAATTCGATGCCCAACTAAGCGATTCGTAATGGTTGCACTTCAGTCGGTGATTGTGATGACCTTGCTCACTTCGAGATTACAAAATTCAAAACGTCGGTTCTCTTTACATTCGATCTGTATGACAAGCTCATCTCGAAATTCTCAAAACATCTTGGGATTCTGCTCATGCAGTGATGCTGAAATGCCCCATTACACGGAACTGAACTCGACGTAGGATTTCGAGAAAAAAATCTTTTCGTACTGGTGCCACGAAAAAGCGAAAACTCTCGAGTATAAATATTTAGAAACAAAAATGCCTGTGTGGTGAATGTGGGTTGGACGAATGGATGGGATGATGCGTGCTATACTCAGCTCTGGCTCTCTCCTGAACAACGAAATTCCCACACTAGATAATTCCCTCTCATTGAAGATCTCGCTGGGCCATTATGATGTCGCACTTTATTACTGAGAGTCGTACTTTTCCGACTTAACAAAAATTTCTTAGTCAGGTCTTTGCAGCCATTAAATCCACGTAGATTTCAGTATCAATCATAAGCATAAAGAAAATTGCTGAGCTTCTTCCATAGCGGTAGTTTGTGGTAAGCATTCCTAAGCAAGTGTTTTACGAACGTTCTGCTATTCTTTGTGCCTATACGATTTCTAATAAATAATATCAGTTGACGATTTACTTTTACATTTTGATCAAAACCAAAAAGTCACACACTTCTTGCTTTCCCATCGAAGTTTCTCACTTTTGCGAGTTTTCTGTCTGACCTACTACAGTGATCACGTTTGCTGAAAGCAGCCATAATATTCTAAATGAGATCATCTTTGTATAAATTTTATCTACTGGACTTTTCTTAAGGCAGGATATTATGTGAAATATAGCCAAAATGATGCTGAGATATTTACAAAACTTGGACACCAGCCCAGAACGAGCCGCGATTACCCTTTCGGGGTGATCACATGTTACACACGGCATAACTGAGACCCTCGTTCTACCTTTCTCCCAGTCAGTCTTTTTACTCTAACGGTTGAACTGGGTTTATTGCCGGTTTGTGCTTTCCAGATCATTTCCGTTGGCGGGTGATCGCTGATGCCACCGCGAGAGTAAAAAGACCGGCTGAGAAGAAGGCAGAACGAGCTCCTTAGTGGTTCCGTACGTGGGCCCTCGGAAAAAGAAATCGTGGCTCGATCTTATGTAGGATCTAAATTTTGAAATTATCTCGAATTACTGCGGTTGGATTCGTTTAATTCTGCAAGAAAATAAGAACGAAAATTCTCAGCCTTTTCCTTTCCTTTTTTCTTTTTATTCTATTATGGTGTGGTGCATTCTTGGTTGAATGCCCCACACAGCATAAAAACTTCTGGCGGTAAAGTTTCTTACGTCTGAATCCGATAGCTTTATTTTCAACGTGGTTAATGGACAGATCTGATGAAGCTGGGGAATGAAACTTGAACCACTTTTCCTTTTAGCTTGTTCTTATTCCATCTACCAGAAATACTGCTTTCAACTTAAATTTCTTTGGAGAACAAATTGAATTGGATTTAGAAGTTCTATGGAAGTGTGAATTATGTTCTTCACCGATTCCATCCTAGAGGTTTCGATCTAATTCTCCTTCGTCCTCCTACAGCAGTTCTCTCTGCTTTTTTCTTAAATGCAAGATAGCTGTTTCAACAAAGTGTACTAAAGCGCCGACATGAATTTACATAGAAGAAGTCTTTCTTTGTTTAAGTCAACAAAGCAATCTCGGTTGGATTTATCACGTTCCCTGTTTCTAGTGGAATTGTTTGGTGTTGAACTGCAATGTTTTGCCGAACGTTGGCCAGTAGTTCGCTTGGCAGAATCACCACAGACGAGGTGTCCGATATTTGCATACGAGAACACAACTAAGAGTAATCAGGAATCGCCGTCACGCTTGACAAAATCCATTCGTAGGACAGCATAATTCCCTCCGATCCACGAAGGTCAGCTGGCGCTTGCCAGTGGTGACTATGTAGGAGTGCTCTTGCATTGCCAGCTATTCTCGGGCTCCAGGGAAAAAATCTCGTCTCATCAGCAAAACACTATTCAAATGGAAATTGTGATGGCGCCAAGTCGATTGTTTTTGGTTGTGTTTTTTTGACGACAACTTAACTTCTATCGAAGTGAGTATATCAACAGGAAGTAAGCAAAATGAGATGAACGGAAAAATGGAAGAGATAGACTAATCATAACGAGACTTTTGATGGGAGAAAAATTTTTACACACCCTAATATCATTTTCTATATCTCTCAGAATTTCTGGATATTTTTTAAGATGTGACATACACTTTGCTATTAATCGCCTTATCAAGCAGTCGCGCTGTTTTACATCACCACGTTTCTTAAAGTTCCTTACCATTGTGATTGACCAACTGACCACCACATCAAAGCTTTATCTTTGTGATTTTTGATTTTACATGTTTATTTGCCAGCGTCATAGGGTTACGCCTTCTATGAAAGCATTCAAACGCTTCTCGTTGTGATTACACCCTAGCTTCTGCTCGTCGCACCCTATTCCACATGGTCTATCGATTCCAACTACCTGAGTTTTCTATTTCAACGGTGAAGAAGTTTTCGTTCTAGTGTTCTTTCCCATTACTAACTTCTAGGTTTCAACTACTCACCTGTAATTGGTACCATTATTTTCTTTTCAGTTTTTGCTGAAAGATATTATTCACTTGTTTCAGTGCTTTCGAGTTCTTTTCACTACGATGTTAGCAAAACTTTTGCGTGTCTACATTTGCAGCTTATTTTTGCAGGTAAAATTTTTGCTTTTTTATTTATTTTATTTGATCCCTCTTCACGTCTACTGTGCGGAGCCGAGCACTTCCCACATTCAATTCGTTTCCTCACATCCATTGCCCACGAAGATCTTCCAGCTTTTACGTGTGGCTTCGGTTGCTGCTCGAGGTTTTTTCATTTCATCTCGAACATCGTAGAATGCTGGTCGAGAAATTCTTCGTGCATTCCTGAGATAACCGGGTTTGAGCGTTTCGAACTGGATTGCAGGGAGTAATTTTTCTCCGAAAAGTCCGGTACCAATTTCTCGACCCCGGAGGGATGAGAGGTTTGGTTGGCCCTGAGCGGAATCGAACTAGCACCGTGCTCGTGATAACTAACATTACTACCACTGTACTATCCATCCCTTTTTTGGTAGTTATACTAGGTAATTTTATACACCCATTACTAAGGTGTTGCGAGTTCAAGTATCGTATCTATTTGAGTTAGCATCTCATTAGTTCGCTGGATTCATAATGCCGATATTTTTAATTCATCATGAGAAAACATAGAAAACTGTCGAAAGCTTCATCGGCTGAATGTGTTCACCAAGCGTTTTCAAATATAATTGTAACCTTATCGTTATTGCTCACGAAAGCTCAGGTAGCACTGAATATTTCAGAGATCTTCTCACGAGAATCACATACCAGTTGAAGTGGAAACTCGTCTTGGAAAGATCACAGGACAAGAGTCAATATTTCTCTACAAAAGGGTGCGATCTTTTTTGAGGTAATTCTTGAATGCGGCCCTGATCAAACGGTTTTGTATTCATAAATAACGGATTATCCGTAGCCCTTTTTAGTGTTCCCTACGCCGAACCACCCATTGGACAGCAGCGATTTCGACCGCCAAAACCAAAAAAACCGTGGAATGAGACGATCGTAGCAAATACACTGTCGCCAGCATGTTACCAAGTAAGTAAGTAAGTCGAAAGGAAAGGAAGCAACAGGCTCGCTTAGGCGTACAATGCGAAGAACAGTAGCGTAAAATCCAACCCACTGTGCTTGGTTTTTTTATGAAAATTTGCTTGTTTTTTATCAGTCTCCCACTTTACTAAAGAACTTACTTATTCATCGATCGCAGAATTCCAAATTGAAGGGGCGAGACATGTATAATACGTCGTTCTGGGGATCAGAAATGTGGAATCACAACACTCCTGTCAGTGAAGATTGCCTTTATCTTAACATTTGGACTCCAGGAGAAGCATAGTAAGTCTTACAGCGAATTTTGTAGGTTGAATATGAAAACTACTCGACCGTTTTCTGACTTGCTATCTTCAAAGTTCGTTAATTTTTGAGTGCAATCAGAAACCAATGAAGAGCTTAAGCATTTCCTTACGTTCAGCAATCTCACCGTCATGGTGTGGCTCTTCGGTGGCGGTTACTACTCTGGAAGTCCGTCGTTGATTCTCTATGATGGAAAGGTGCAATTCTATGAAAGCTTCAGTTCAGATTCATAGACTTCGTAAATCTGCATAACTGTTAAGGCCTTAGCATTGCTGGGTAATGTAATAGTAGTTAATGTCAATTACCGAGTTGGTCCGTTTGGATACCTCTTCATGGACGACGATGAGGCGCCCGGTAACGTCGGAATGCTCGATCAGGTCAGTTATCTTCTATCAATTCGAGGGGTCTGAACTAGTTCTATTAATAAGCAATATACTTTTTTCCGTTAACTCTCTGTAACCGCACAATTAGCCTGATAATTTTAACATTAACATATTGAAGCCCTTTTGGCGAAAACCCTAGAGATTATTCGTCTGAAAACTTTAATAAAAAAATTTCCAATAATTTACCACTCAACATTACTCAAAGTAGAAGGCTTTCGAAAGCTCAATAATTAGATTCCATTGATGACAATGGTCGCCTAAAAAACAATCCGAAATAGGTTTTGGAATTCCTTAAGGGATTTCCTACCCAAGTAATCGAGATTTAGTGGAATTTCACGACTGAACGGTTTACATAGTCGAACTGTCCGAAAACTAGCTTTGTTCGACTTTCGTGATGAGTAGAGGCGAATTCGAATCCTGAGGGAGAGAACGCAGGCTTCGGTCAGCTAATAAATTGCTCTGAGATGTCTCGTGCGTGAACTCTCATCAATTCCTCATTTTGCTTCACTCTGTTGTCTAAAAAGCTTACTAGTTATTTTGAACATCATGGTTTTCTTGACTGGTACCGTGTCTTCTAATAGAGAAAAAATTAGACTATCACTATCACTAAAGCTTCCTTTTTACTAGGCTTACATGGCTCATTACCTTCTTCCAAAACTGAGAAATCTAGAACTATAAAGAACCTATGCAGAAACAGGTTCTCAAAGCTATCCATTCACAATAGTATTTCGGCGAATAGCAAACGATCATCTTTGAATCCTTAACTCTTTGCCAGCAATGGTATTTTTGATGAGCTATTAGTTGTTTGCAGGATGAAATGCAAAGAAGTTGCAAGTTGTCTTTGAATAGAATTAACGATTGCAGCAACTGGCGTTGTACTGGATTCGTGACAACATCTTCAACTTCGGTGGTAATCCGAGCCGGATCACATTGTTTGGAGAGAGTGCCGGCGCATCCAGCATCGTCGCTCATCTTATAGCTCCTGGATCAGAAAAGTGAGAAATTTTCGTGACTTTCCCATTGTTTACTCCATTTTTCAAACATGTTTCGTAATTGAAGTGTTCATCTCGACATTTCACTAGTTTTTATGAGCAAGGTTAACTATTATGTTAATCCATTTCCGCTAGAGTGCCATGTATTTTGCTTCCATTTAATGATCCACCTGTAGTAAATCGCTGCAAAAAAGATAAGGATAAGTTCGAAGGTGACAGTAGCGCTGTGTTGTTAAAGTGCCGCCATCTGTGGGTGTAAATAAATCTGACCCAATCAATTCATAAATAACAAGGGAAAACTGTTCGGCATTTGTCAATCCCTTAAGCATCGTAGAGGAGACTGATTGCGTTTTAGACCTATGCAATCATTTACTGAGCCAAACATGTACTAAGTCAGTGTTTCCATCTTTCCAGATAAGTCTTGATCAAATTGCCTACTTCGAGAGAACGCAAAACTGAGCCCCCAGTTACTCTAGAGAGAAGGATAAAGCCAACAACCTTGTGTTTGCTGCAGCTCACCTCTAACCACTCCGCAATACGATCTAGCACTAGTAAGCAGCTGTATAAATTGATAGATAGACACAGAATCTAGTAAGCGTCATACTACAATCGTCTGTTTGTGGATATAACAGTGAAATGACCGTATTTTCCTAGGTGTAGGAGTTTGCTAGGCCAGAAATTTCCCAAACGATCTCTAATTTTTCATACATATTCATTTTCTCATTTATGCGTTTCGGACCAAATGTTTAAGAAGGAGAAATAACTGTTCGCATGCTGTCAATTAACAGGACTGACCCCACTATTCAATGGCATTTGTGTCACGATGTGTGTAATCAATTAATCCTTCTTCCATAAAAATCTGGTCTATTCGAAATATCTGGAAACTTCTACAGGTGGAAGGTTACAGTATTTCACGGGTTTTCTATACCGATTTCGCACTCATGACAAATATGTGGAGAAGTTGTATATGGACTAAGGTTGCTCAAATTCCTTCGCAAAATATTACTCGAAAATTTTTCAATGAATCCTCTTGGCTTTAATTCATATCAAAGTGTGATATGGTAGTTTGTCTACTGTAACCACTGAGTAGAAAAATAATTATTGTTTTAAACACTTGCTACGGTAGTTTTTCGAATATGCTGCTGAACTGTACAAATTTACAGTTAGAGTTTATACTTTAGTTTATTCAAAAACGGCATCCTGCAATCTGGAAGCTTGGATAATAAGTGGTCAATGGATACCCCAAGTAGAGGACTGGATAAAAGCAAACAGTTGGCAAATCTCGTCGGCTGCAATAGGACGAAAGTTCGTGAACGTTTTCCTTACAGAGTACAGAGGTTCCTCAGTAGTGTTTTAAGCTGAAAGACAATAACTAACCAATTATGTGGGCGGCACCTCAATATATCACAGAAAAGATAATTTTACTAATTATTATGTTGTAAGTATTTGATATTATTGGGTTGGCTTGTTAATATTTTCACATATTTTCGTTTAATCAGTAGGCCGAACGAAGCCATATCTTTCAGTTTCACTGCTCAAATTGATTTTTTTTCGGTTAGTATCGTGAAGTATGAAGTCGAGATCTTCTCTACTAGAGTTTGGTCCTAACTATAGTGCTGCAGAAAGGTTTCCTCCTATCTTTTAAAGAGTTATCCATAAATAAAAGCATACATGGTACAGTTATTTCCACCACATGAAAGAAGGTAAATATAAATTTAGGTGAAAGAAATGATTTCGTGTCTTCGTTCTGCTCCAGCTCAGCTTCTAGTCGACAACATTTGGAACCTCAATCTCAGCTTCATCGAGTTTCCTTTCGTCATCGTATCCAGGTCTCATCATTGGGCAATTAACACGTAACGACCGAATTTAACTGTATGCTATGCATGCGTGCATGCATGGTGAGGCGAATTGGACCAACCGCATTGTATCCTATGCATTTACTTTTTAGCAGTTTATTTCGTTGCTTAATCAAAAACTTATTCGGCACAGCATTTACTTAAGGGATGGCGCGTAAAAAGCTGTTTTCTATGCTTAGTATTTTACAAAGGAATCCATTATGACTTCTTTATAATGTGCTGTTTTAGAGATCGAAACTTTTTTCGACATAAAGATGGATTTACATCGTTAAGGAACGGAGAGTGCGCCCATCACGTGAATTTGATGATCGGTATTAACCATGATGAAGGTGAGGGATGTTTTGACTTCATTTCATCTTGTTTATAAGAACGTTTGTTCGAGATTTTGCTGTGATGACACCTGAAGTAGAAGCACTATCACAATGATGCCGAGATATCTGCAAAGCTTTGAACCCAAGCCAGATCCATGCCTGCGATTACCCTTTCCGAGGGCTCACGTGTTACCCCACTATACCACTGAGGCTTTACTTTGGCTCCCAATTATTTCAGTATCATTTTGGTTGTTTTTCACATAATACTCTGCCATGAAAAAAAAATAATAGGCAGTGAATGAAAGTTGAACATTAAGGGGGAAGTTTCCTAAATCTCGAGTACTCCGTACATTTACGAAAATTCATCAATTGGTGACTTTTTTCGGATATGAAGACCTTCCAATTGTTGGGCGCTAAAGATCTAAATCATAGACATGTTTGTGAAGATTTCCCTTCAAAATCGAATCAGTTCTTTAAATCTACGGATGTCAACAATTCTTGACGGCTACACAGACTCGTTTCAAGCGTTGTATCACTTATATTTATTTTCCTGCCCCCTTCAATGACGTTAATTGTGGCCGATGCCGTTAATTTCTGAAATTGTTGAGCGAGTTCAAACGCTGCCTATTTCAGGAAGAATTCCCTTTTTCACAGAAAAGTCGCAAAAATTCAGGAAACCGAATCCTAAAATCGTCATGATTAAGGATTTCTTCACATATTTGTAACAGCTTTCCCAAAAACAGCGTTATCGACATTATGAGGATAAAGTACAAAGCTATGAGCGTTGATCAATATCTTAAGGATGCGCTATGCATTCGACTTCATTAACGATCGTTGGAGGTGATTGAATGCGTATATGACCTACGTAATGATTACGGTGGTCTATGTATCGAGCTAATCCTGCTCTCTTCCCAGGCAGACCTCGTAGGAATACGCCGACCTCGAAGGGATGGAAGGTTCGGTGAGCGTGGAGCGTGAGAATCGACCCCATGTGTACTGTAGTGCGCCTCCGACCGCTGCGCTACACGCACTCCGTTATCGGCATTATCATTGTAGAATACGATCGGCTCGAGCTAAGAACGGATCTAAGAAACCCAAATGTAAATCGAAGGTTTAATCTCAGGAGCAGGTAGCAACTATTAACCTACGTAAAGGCTTCCAAAACAGTAAAAATGTGAAAGATTTTAAAGGCAAAAATGCAGCTGGACTCGGAAATACTGATGTAAAAAGGTCCATCTACGAAGTCAACAGGATAGGACTCAATAATTATCCACTGTTCTTCATCAACACATGGCTTAGATTTCTCATGCATTACCTGTTAAAATAAGAGGCCCTACGTCGATAAAAAAGCAGAGTTCTACAGTGAAGGTGACCTTGAAAACGTTTTAAGCTATCACGCATTCTCAAAGACTGCGACACGCGCAACATTCGGGACTGTATGTGGGTTTCGAGCCTGTGACTATACTTACCGGCGTCTCATGAGCTATCCACAGCACCAACCGAGGGCCTTTACATTTATCTTAGCCAGGTTTTAACTCTAACAGCGTCAGCAGTCGCCTGTTAACGCAAATGAAAAGGAACACAAATTGGCATTGAACCCACTGAGCTGTAACTGCATTCGAAATCAATGTTTTAACTCTTATTTACTGCTCATTCGTTTTCCATACCAGAGTAAAATATGAAGCAGCTTAATCGTGCTTATGCCGATTTCCGTTTACCAAATTATTTCTGTAGGCAAGTGATTGCTGATAACCTCATAGAGTAAAAAACTAGCTGAGAAAAATGCAAAAGTAAGATCATTGGTTGATGTGGCAGATAGCAGGTGAGCCTGTAGTAAGGAAAATCGCGAGTTAGGAGCCAGAATGGGATCACGAATTTTGCGCATATCTCGGAATCCCCGTAATAACATTTCATTTCTTACCCTGTCATAAAAAAATAAGAACTAAATGGTGGTTAAAATATTACCCAACCATCTGTCCGCTTTCTGTCGTCTATAAGCTCGAAATCTTCTCAAACAGGGCAGCTAGGGCATTGAAAAGTGGACGACCATACAACAAGCAGTTTTCCAATAAAGAGAGCACAAGAGACCGTTATGTTTTCACTTAGAAGGCAAACGCTGAGATGCTCTTCTCGGAGACGCTAGAAAACTCTCTAAGAAGCAGGTGGATTCAGCTGTGGTCTACATGTCTATCGCTACATGGTGTTAGCTCTCCAAATATAGAAACTGTGCTTTCTCGATTTTACCAATAACCTATAATCAAGTGAACATGATCTGTATGGATAGCAAGATATTGAGGAGCTCCCAACTCATTTTAAAAAATAGGAAACATATGCACTCATTTGACAAGTCATTTTTTGCCTAAGATATTTTTACTTGCTCCATAGTCAAAAATGTACATTAGTTGACCTTTACAAACATGAATTCCGCGTCTTCTGATTTTCAGACGATTACAGTCTTTAAGGCGGGAGCACGTGAGAACTTAACTAGCCTAGCTAACGGTCAATGTTGAGCCAGCAAAGAATGAGCCGTTCACTGCACCGTGTTTCGCAAACCTCGTTTGTATGATGCTTCTCCGTAATAAATGTATCGCAGGAAATTTCTGGAACATCTACAATCTTGCCAACTATTTCGACAAGTCCGAGCAGCCGGAACTAAGTCGAAATGAGTTTCATGACTGCATCGAAAGAGCGTTTGCCTCTCAACCTGAGCTGGTTAGGAGCGCTGCAAAGCACGTTTACTCGGATCCGAACTGCACCGATCCAAACAAAAAGTCACAGTTCTACGCTGAACAGGTAACGTTATATCGCTTGTGAAAATTCTGTTTTGCTCATTTTACCTATTTGTTAAACGCTATCTAGACTGAGTTGAGAATTGTTAAAAAATCAATCTACGTGCTGCTGCGAGTAGGACCACCTGTGTATCGTTCACGTAGGACGAGTGTGACCCACTCAGGTCAATAAAAGTCAGTTTGAAAATAGGCGCTAGGTTACGTGTGATAGTGAGGCTTTTGCCTTTCTGATTCATCCTTGGACTTTTGGAAGTTATTCAAAGCGCTTGAAACGTCTTACGCGCTGATGTATTTGAACCTTGTGCTGGAGTCCGGACATTCATTTCAAAGTCATCGCCAGTGTGCTTTTGTGTCCTATATGCACCCGGAGGAGTACTTTTAAGCTATCAAGAGATAGAACGCTTGATGATCCCAGAGTACGGGTTCGAATCGGCCTCCACTCATGTATTACAAGCCACCTCTTGCCATTGCGCCGTGCGCACAAATAAGCAGGTTGCTCGGAATTGTTTACTGCGTGATGGATAATTTTAGATGAAGTGCGCATTTGTCGTCAGTATCTTCAGAGTCTGACCGAAAATGCCGGTAGTTCGGCATTGAAGAAGTTGAAGTTACACAAACAGCTGAATTCAGGTTAATCAGATGGTAGGCGATTACTTTTTCACTTGTGATAGCATTTGGCTGGCCGATCAAATCAGTCGGTATGACGGCCACCATGGTCGTGTCTACATCTATTACTTCGATCAGCCTTCGAGGTTTGATTATGACGAATTTCTGTTTGAAACGAAATTGGTCGAAGTTCTTTTTCTTAATTTCTAACTTGGCACTATTTCTGACTTGAGTTTCCATCTATTCATATACGTCTTTATTCTCTGAAATTATGATTGAGTGGATAACAGTTAAACAAACAGAACATTTGTGACTTAACTTTTAAAAGAAATTAGTTCCAAAGCTTTTCTTCTTGTATAGCTGAAACACTAAGTTGCTTAGACAGCCAGATCTGTTTCGTGGTGAACCAAATTCTAAGATTCTACACAAAAACGCACTTTCTACAAAATTTTCGATAGGCGGCCAAAGTCCTGAAGAAAATCTCGTACAAGAAAATCGTACATAAATGGGCTTACGCTGGGAAACAGACGTTTTTGAAGAGGTCCCTCGTTGTCATGAAGAAATTATGCCAAGCTACCGTTTTTGAAGGTTTTTTTGACTCTCTCTCTCTACACTCTTATTTAGGGCGGGTTCAATTTTTCTTCTTTAGACACTTTGTTGCTGCTTTTTTTCTTGTCCTTCAATCTACTTCGTAACTCATATTTATGTGATTTTTGACAAGTTTTTGTAGCACGAAATATAAAAGACAACTTATAAACTGATCTTGCTGGGCTGATGCGAGGTTCCTTTACGTTTTCGTTTTCGTTGTCGTTGTAGTTGTTGCTGGTCGATGGCTGATGTTTCGGTGATTTCGCCCTCCTCAGAGCCGTACTGTTACGAGTGGGACTCGTACTCGTGGGAATCCAACTCGTAACAGCACGGCTCTGAGGAAGGCGAAATCGCCGAAACGTCAGCCATCCACCAACAACACTAACAGCAACGACAGTGACCACGAAAACCTATAACAACCTTTCTGTTTAGCAAAATCAGCTTAAAATATTATGTAAATAAATATATCGACGATATATGCTGAGGTTTATAGAAAGTCGGCTTTTTGAGCTATTAAAAAACAACTTTTCAGTGCTAATCCGTGGCCGAAATGGACCGGCGTAATGCATGGTTACGAGATTGAATATGTGTTTGGAGTGCCGATTTACAACGAAACCGCCGGCTACACAAAGGCAGAGCAGTTGCTGTCAAAGAAGGTCATCCAGTACTGGAGTTCCTTTGCTGCTACAGGGTTTGCTTTCCATCGTTCGTTCAGTTAAGGCTGAATTTGTTTAATTTGTTGATGACGCATGGCTACGATTCTCCATTGCTCGGATTTTCTCGGAAGTTTAGATCTAACTCCACCCTAAACACGCACCTTCTCATTTTTACAACTGAAGCAAATTTTCCATCAATTGACCAGGCCATTCAATTGACTTTATCACCTCTCCGCACAAACTGGCAATAGCAGATCGTGAAAGTGAAATGTCGGGGCAAAATGTGAACTTTGTTTTTATTCCTTGAAAATTCACAAGGTTTTACGCTGTTAAACAGCACATTAGTTGCGATTTGTTATCTATTTCAGTGTTCCACGATTAAAGGACTCTAAATCAACCGATGTTTGGCCCGAATATGACGGTATCAACAACACGAGGTGGGGATTTCGGACGAGTAATCTCTAAATAATTTGACAAATCGGTTAGCGACTTTGTTTACAATGTTTAACACAAACCACGAGGTTTTGTGTTTACCGTAGCTTTACTATGATTTTTGGAAAGAAGTGAAAGGTAAAAAGATGACGGGTAAAAGTCCAGGATTGATCAATCGCCTAAGGATGCTCCGATTATTGGGCTTCGTTCGTTGCATCGCAAAAGGAATCGAATGCATATTTGGCCTACACGATAACTTTCGGGGTTCAGAGATAACATATGTAGCCATGTGAAGCTATAGCACTACAACTATATCATATGTGGTAAAACAATGTTACTGTAGTGTTCCAATTCTTTGTACGCCACAGACCTAATGGGCGCACTCACAGCGATCTCACACTCATAATGATTCTTTCTATCTTCTTTTTCTTGTTACTCGTATTCTGTTAGGGAAAAATGGTAAAACGTTGAGCGTTGATCTACCCCTTCGTTATGTGCCATGTACTAAATCTCACCATAAAGATGAGTGAATGTATATGCGGCCCATATAATGATTTGCTGCTGCCTACCCATGCACTTGTCAGTGCTCTCTAAGCTGGCAGACAAATCTGGTGTGAATTTTTCGACTCCAGAGATATAAAAGGCTTGGTTATTTTGAGCACGGGGTCAAACCAAAGGTTACGTCTCTAGTATTGCAGTGGTCTCATATCCATTGCGCAACAAGCTCTGCATTCAATCGAAACCATAGTTGATTTTGTAGTGAAAATAGATAAAATAGAAGCTACTAAAGCTACTAAAAGTTCACTCCTTACTGTGGCGAAGGTAAGCAAGAGATTACCACAGGTGGATGCTGTTGAAAGGCGGTTCTTATTTGAAACCAATAGGTGCGAGGAAAAAAGTCGAATGTGACCTATGGAGACACGCGAAGGACATCGAATACAACTCGTACGGTACGTGTGTTACCACCCATTGCAAAAAACTATCCTATGATTGTCGGTTGTCTGTATTCGTGAATTCCAGTGGCCAAACTTCGGTTCTCGTCTGCTACCAAGATTTCGTTGCTGTCGTCAATTTTCGTTCTGGTGCTCTTATAGTACATTATTTTAGCTACCATGGAGGAGTCACCACATCCTTTTAACGTATAACGTCCTTCACCCATGTTAAATTTTAAGTCAATGTATCTCACTTCATGCCAACTCTAATGAAATAAAAAATGAAATAAAAAAATGAAATAAAAAGCATTAGAATCTATTTCAGGCGCTGCCGCACTTGCGTTGAAAATTCTAAAGATTTAACCCTGGTGTTCAATTTTCTGAAACCCTGGTGTTCAATTTTCTGAAAATTTTCAACTTCTAGACAGATTTCGAATTGAAGAAATCGTTCCAAATGCCGTAAAGATTTTTATGGTGCACCCATGAGGTACAGTAAAGCTTTTATAAAGCTGCGATGTTTTTAATTTGTCAGCTATTCCAGTAATCGAAAATTTATCGTCAGTTTTCGAAAAACCAGCATCCGGAGTTGGGCGTTTAAAAAAGACCCTAAACGATCTGGTAAACGACGAGTACCGTCGTCGTCAGATCGGTGATTTACAGTGGTAGAAGGACTAGGCCTTTGACCCCTTCGTTTCAGAGTCATATGCATAGCTTGTTAGCTAGTGAAAGCCGTTCTGATTGCCTCGTTGATCTTTGATAGTTGTTCATCGACATTTTAGTAACAATATTAATAGTAATACTGTTTACTATACGTCTCCGCTTCCTTGATAAGCACGCACGATGTTGTTAGTATACCATTCATTTATCAGCAAAAGCTGATTTTTCGGAGGATTTCGCTTTCTTCAGAATCTGGAAAGGTCCAGTTAACAAAAATCTTGTTGGCCAAACACCCGAAAACTCAACAGAAAAACTTCAAGCCCATGCGGAAGCAACAGGGATTCCTCGAGCACTCACCGCTTTCTATGACTCTTCTACTAAGTATTCCGTGCAAAAACCAACCATGCAGAGTTCACGTAGATGGACAATGCGCTCCTCTCACTTTAAAATACCCGTCTGAGATACTAAACTGGCATGAATGCCTCATTACCTGTGATTTCACACAACACCTCAGCCTGATATTTAATTGTGAGAGATGCACATTACCAATCCATGTGAGCTTTGTGCGGTTGTTCTCCACGTGGAATAGTCAATAGAAGACTCATCGAAAACGAGAAAACTGTTAAAGAGCTGTTTTACTTCTAATGTGATTGAAATCTAGATTTCGTAGTTTTTCGTTTAAAGTTATGGTGGTGCGTCTTTTTCTTGTTCAGCAATCGCGAGGTTCTTAAACAGCATACGTTTAATTCCATAGAAAAACAATACAATACAACGCTAGCTGACGTTTCGGCAGTATCGCCTTCTTCAGAGCCTGGAAGGGTATACTGATATACAATCTACTAGGCCAAACGCTTCAATAACACTTACAAAAAGACGAAAAAAAGTTTTTTCGTCTTTTTGTAAGTGTTATTATGTAAGTGTTATTTTGTAAGATTGCTGAACAAGAAAACGACGCATTCATATTCCAATGCCGATGTTAACAGAAAGTCGATCCTGGGAGTTATGGGGGTGTTTGGATAATAGATTTCAATTAACTTCATCCTCACAGGCTCTGATGAAGGCGAAATTTGTCGAGACGTCAGCTTTGTGGATTAGCGAAAAGCACAGTAAAGAATTCCGCGTGTGCTTATCAAGAAACATCGAAATATTAATTAGTGCCAAAGTTAATAGAAAGTCAGTTTTGAAAACAATAAAAACTGTTATTAATATTGAATGCCATTCTTTTCATAGATGTTAGGCAAAGCATTCTTTTCTGGACTCACATAGAGAATGCGGATAAGAAATGATGTTTGCAATCTCCGCTGTACATAATTTAGCTTGATTCTAAGCATACGTTATTATTAATAGCCTAAGTGGTGTAAAGATATGTCACCTTCGTTATCACATATCAGAATCTTATACTGATATTAAGAATCCGTGATTTTGAATAATGAGCGCGTTTCTTTAGCATTTGTACTTATCATTTACCTTACATTTCTCAACTCCTTATCAGGTCTCTCCACCTTTGCTTTAAACCTCTTTATTTATTCACCGTTTAGTAATAATGCTTTAATTGCTCTTTAGACATTTTTTGGTTCTACTACACATTTACTGGGATTCTGAAGAATTCTAATACATGCAATAAAGATTTCATCTCTGATTAGGAAACTGCGTTCTATTTTAAATGTCGAAGACAACCACAACGATGTTGAGATATTTGCAAAACTCCGAACCGCAGGTGTTTGCGGTGGAGAACGAATGCGCTATCACCCTTTCCAGGGACTAACGTGTTCACCACCACACCATGAGGGTCTTTCGTTTCGACCGTCTCTCAGCTAGTTCTATCGATCATGTTTATGATAATTTCGAAGACATCACGGGAAATTCACAACTCCAGAAAAATTTGAGCATACTTTTACGATTCATCCAGAAGCTTTTATAATGAGTTTACGTATATTAAAAAGCGTTTAGTGACCAAAAATCATCCAATGTGAAGATCCTGCCACTTCTTGCAGACGATTCGTCTTGCTTTATCCCATCCGCGAAGGTCTTCAAACTATTTACGCATGCATTCAGCTGCTACCTGAGGTTTCTTAGTCTTCTTTATGAATGCCGTTGAATTCTCATGGAATAGATTCTACCTGAAATCCTGTGATTGTCGTGCTACGGCGTTGCCGGCTTCTCACTAAAAGCGTTGGCCAACCTTTGGGAATCGAAAGGAATTTATCCCTGATAAGTCTGGTAGCTATTTATTAACCCTCAAAGGTTTGGTTAGTCCAGAGTGGTGATCGAATCAGGGTCTTGCGCATATGAAATCGAAATAAAAAGACGTAAAAGTCTTCATGGAATGCCGAACAATAATTTTGCTGCGTGCTTACAAGAACTGAGTGGGCACAGCAAAATACAGGCACCTATGCCGTTTCTTGCCGTTTCTCATCATTCTACTTTATTTGGTCTTTGCTCTTTTGTTTTGCAAACCTCATTAATAGTCACATCTGCTAATATAGACTATCATTAGAACGTCGTTTTTATGGATTCAATCCATCTAGTCACAAAAGTCCCACATAATGCTTTGCAACTCGGCTTCTCTACTATTACTTCCAATAACGAGTCAACCAATGTTCAATTATTTATTTAGTAACGTGATTCAAAGTAGAAAATTCAATTTTTGACTATTTAACTTAGTCGAAAATGATACACAACTTCTAGGTAGTACATTGCAGTGAGCAGCACCATGTACACCTTTAGAACTAGGTCTCTCGAATAAGCTTACTGTGTTTTTAAACCTTCCAGGCCTCGATTTATCAGGTCACTAGGTGTCGTTTGCGGACGAGTTGTCCAAGTCTGTAGCCAGCACTAAACTAGGCGTCATCCAACAAGGCCGAACATGAAGTTAGAATTGGGTCTTTATTTTTCAATACGCAAACGCACTATTAGGTTTGTCAAAAATTGAGATTGACGAGAGAAATCCCACAAATAATGACGTTCAGCTTCAACTTCTTGAAGGAATAAACGCTGATTTAGTATTTTCTACGCTTATGTCTTTTTTATTCAACGAATAAACCCATGTTACAAAGCAAAAAGAAATTTCATTACCTGCTTGGCACTAACACGTCTACTCCATAAATTTGGGCATTAGCATGGTTTCAACAAAGTCACACCGATCATGTAAAAATCCGCTCGTGTAAAAATGTCTTAAATAAGAAGCCAAGATGCTTAATTTGCAAGTAACTCATTGATTGCTTATCTCCTATCACCGCTGACAAAGCAACAGACTGGCACACTTTCTATTTAACTTTCTATTGGCTATCGAGCTTTCGTGCTGGATAAAAACTGTTATACCAGAACTCGGTCTTATTCGACAACGATTGAAACATTCGAAGCCACGGAAGAACTTACTGTTTTTCGAGCATTTTGCATGGTTTAGGTTTACCAAATCTTTTATCTTTGCTATGTCCAAAAATTGTAATGGACTTCTCCGGGTTCAGGTCACACCCTCCAAGGCGCGTGGAAGGCTTTAGCACGCCAATCCAAAAACAGCAAGCAGAAGCAACTCGACCTGAATTCAGTGACATTCACAAGAAAGGCGAAAATCCTCAACCTGCAGCCCAACACACATAAAAAATTCGAACACTTTCATCGAATATAGATGTGAGCAAACGAATCAAATTAAAGAAGCACAGGGATCCACGCAGTAGATGTGAGGACTAGTCAGCTGAGATAGGATAAATATTAGAGGCCTATGTTATTCTTAATAGCAATAATCGTTGAGCAGTTGGACCAAGCTCTTAGAAAATTCTCACCATCTTGTTGAATGTACGGCTACCCAAATGTCTACGCCAGCACAACGGACACGGAGGTCGGCACCGTCCTTGGCACGATATTCCTAATTCTGGCTATTTTTGACTAGAAGATAACAATAGCTCAGTGAGGTTAGCTGCGTTACTGGCATATTCTCAAGAGAACTTCTGAATGGTAATGTTGCAGTGCTTCTCCTCTTGAATCATCCTACACTGACGAAGTAAACACCTGTTATAAATCGCACTTTGTCACTTACCAAGAAATATTCGGTGGCGAGACCTTGCTCAGACAAGACGAAACTAGTCAGCATAAGTCATAAATCATACAATATGACTGCAACATTCTAGTTTTTCGTCCGCCACAGAGTTCGCACAATAATATTGATGTCAGACTCTGCAGATTCTTTCCATTTTCTTTTTCTCGTTATTCCCATTCTATAAGAAATGAAAAAGATAAAATGTTGGGGATTGGTCAGTTCCTGAGGGATACGCTACGCACTGGCTTTGATTTACAGCACCACAGAGGTGATTGAATGCATATATGCCTCTACACAATGGTCTGCGGTGACCTACCGTCGAATTATCAAATCTATGTTTTTCTCCTCCTAGACGAGTCTAGTGGCAATTCCGACCCCTTATGATGGGACCTATGTTATTCAGAGGCGCTTGATAGAACTAGAAACCGAGTACGTATCAAGACACCTCTAACTATAAGCGCCCTTCCCCTTTTCTATAATGGAAAGAAACTGCTTACATTTTTCGATACCATT